AAGCCGCGAGTGACGGCGACCCTGGACGATGGAGGAACATTGGCAGCATAGATGGACTAAGGGTCCCTGCTCTTGAAACATTCGCATATAGCGCTAGCAAGGCCGGCCTACACCATCTCAGCCGTGTCCTAGCAAACCACCTTGGAAGACGGAATATAACGTGAGGCCCTTGCGATCAATCCAGGACTCACATGGAGCTGTTTCCTGATTTGCTAACTTCTACATATAGGTCTAACACGCTGGCCTGCGGGCCGTTCGAAAGTAAGATGATGGCTGCGACCCTAAAGAAATACAAGGATGTGATCGAATCTGGCGTTCCATTGGGTCGCATTGGAACTCCAGAGGATGTTGCCGGAGCATGTCTTTTTCTCAGCAGCAGAGCTGGATCATATGTTAATGGCGCCACGATTACGCTTGATGGAGGCAGTATCATCAATGCAAAGATGTAGCTGAATCGAATTCATGAAACGATAGAGACTCTGAGTTATTTACTTGGTTACCGCTTTGAAATTTTCAATGGAATGGAAGAAATGTAAATTAATTAGTTATCATTACGACCTAAAAATTTACGCATATTTCCAGCTATTTTTTTTTTTTCTTCCTCCTAATGGTATACTACTTAGTACTAGTATTTACCTGATATTGCTATGGCGGAGCCGATCTCCACCAAGATGGCAACTGCCAGCAAGGCCTGCAATGTCATCGAATTCCACATGTACGGTTGATATGTGGCATATTTCAACGGATGTGAAATTCCTTGTTGATCCATGTTCAGTATTTACACGAATGTTGGTTGGATTCGGTGGACCTTGTGAGCTTAATTACATCACCACTCCCTTCTCACATAACTAGAGTTTGTTGGCCACAAAGAAGCTTCCCCATATTTATGATCTTATTAACTTCCCTGGGAATTTTGGAATATCATCTCCAAATTCCACAGCTACTGTCCCGTTGTCTAACTCATTCATTGTGAAGATTCTTCTGAAACACTCGCATCCCTCCAACAAAGGAACACATAGCACAAGCGGACGCAGTTGGTGGCGTCTTTTTGCTGCGTCTTCTGTGCCGAACATCGTATCATGAGCGTGCCGGTAGATGAACATTCTCTGTGTGCACACCGACGGCGTTCCTCGCGATCTTCCGATGCAGACCCCTTCTCTGAGCCTGATGTATATTACGGCCAGGAGGAACACCTGAAGCAACATGCTCAGGCCCATCGAAGGACATTGTCATCTGTTAGTAACATTTGTTCCCGTTGTTTCTGGCAGAGAATAATACCCTCTCCTTCTCATCCCGTGTAAAATCTAACGATTCTCCCAGAGCCTGAAACGATTCGATCTTACTGATCTCCGTGATTTTATCGGCAATGTTCCGTCAAGACGGACAAGCCATGGTAAGTACTTGCTTGCTGAGTTTGCTTGTGCTTGTTTTGCTATCATGATGCTGATGGCGGTAACTCAATATAGATGAACGAGTGCAAAGCCGTAAATTCATCATCGATGTCGACGCAACGTTGGAGACATTGCTGGAACGCGAGGATACAGACCACAACGTACAAATAACAATAGATGACCAGGGACCAAAAGTAAGGGAATAACAGCTATCTCTCCTGGGTGGGATTACCGCTTACCAATTTCCTTAGGTATTTGCAGTAGGCACTGCGGCATCAAATGGCTACAATCGATTCGATTTGCGAGGAACGTATATGATTTCGAACCTCCTTCAGGAACTCACACTGGCAAAGGATTATGGCCGGAAACACATTATACTCGACGAGCAGCGCCTGAATGAGAACCCTGTCACCAGACTCTCCCGCCTTATCAAAAAGTGCTACTGGAATGCACTCACGCGCCGAATTGACGGATCCAATATTGTAGCCGTTGCAGCAGATCCTAAAGACTGGACTGCGGACCCAGTTCCCCGTATATATGTTCCTCCGGGAGCGCCCGAGCAGTACGAATATTATAAGAGAATTGCGGACGCTCAACCTGAATTACGCCTCGATGTTCAGTACCTCCCGGAAGGAGGACCTACTGCCGAGTACGTGAAGGACTGA